TTAAGCAATATTTATATATACATGTCATGGGGCATATATTTATACAACTACTATCATTAAGTCTATGTACTAATATCTTAATATTATATTCTTACATATTCATTTCTGTGGTATAAAACTGTCATTAATTCCTCTCACAAATATATTGTTTTTTTTTAATCTACATTTATTCTTAAAATCTTTTGCGTTATTCATAGAACACATTAAAAATTTGAGTATTTTTCTCATCAACCAGAGATAATAAGCGGTAACAAAATTTGCACAATATCATAAACTTATTATAAAAAATCCAATAATTTACTGTATCAATTAATAAATAAAGTACTAAACCATGGCTGTAAAAATGACGTGACCTGAGGAAAGATTTGTTTTATTTATTTATAGATGGACGAGCCCCTAGAATTGCCTGAATTCGAAGATTTTTCCAGATCAGGTGTTTTTTAAATGTGTTAAAGTTAACGATTTGATTATTCGAATCAAGAGTTATTTGATACCAAAAAGATCTGTCTCAAAATCGTAGCCAAAGAATAATTGGCCAAATAGGAAAAATTATAAGTCAACCCACATGCAAATTGATTGACCACAGATTCATATGGGCAAAAGATCTTTCACAGAAGTGCTTCTACAACAATGCCACCAACAATTCTGATATTGAAGTTAGGACTCAAGATCAGCAGACTCAATATTTAAACTTAGACATTTTATCGTAATCGTGATTCTATAAATAAGAGCATGAAAAATAAATGTAGAAAAATAATCTAAACAAATATCTTTGAAATATCTTGCAATATATGTTAAAACCAATTATAATAATTTTGTTTCTAGCACCGCCTTTATGAAACCATCCATTACAATATAAATTTTTCAACACATTTTTTTACATTCAAAATATTCATATAAAATAATTCCCTTCGATTTTAGATCTTGCCCAAATTTTGCAGATCTCATTTCTAAACCTCTTGTTCTGTACCTTTTGTAATTACTCTGAAAATTACTAATAAATAAAAAATTACTTTTAAGAACCGTAAAATAAATATTTGCAAAAAATAATATACGTTTTTATAAATCCCTAATCTTGATGCCGATGAACTTAAAACATTACTTCAATCTATTTCCAGGTCACAACATTTTCACGGTCCTAAACTTAGTTCCCAAGTTCCCAGCTTTCGTATAAAAACAAAAATCAATAAATATAATAAATTTATCATATTTAATATTATCAATAGCAGGATTTAGCTGCCAAGTATCGCATTAGAGGTTTTGGAGTATCACAACCATACGAATTATTTATAAGATATTTCTGCGGGAGATTGCATAATTTCTTTATGTACAAAATTCGATTATTCGAACCAACTGCATGTTTTCAAATTAGACAAAAATATAACACTTGAATATAAAAATATATGCAAGTTTTTTATAATTGTTCAATTATATTGAGCAGGACTCGAATCATTTTTTTAAGGAATTTTAACCTACACGATACTTCGCAAGCTTTTTGGGTACTTGACAAATAGCTACAGATAATTGTGTAAACAATTATATATATATATATATATATATATATAAATTGTTTAGACATTGTGACACAAAATATATATGTGCATACGGATAATAAACACGTTGAACATACTATTAACGATTACTTCAACAATTAAGATTAATGTGCTTTCCACATATATTTTTATATTAATTTGGTATCATTAAATATACTTTATATAGGGATATATAAATAATATTACATCCCATATTTATAGTCGTCCTAATATTGTATAACAATTCATGCAAATGCGTTGATTATATTTATATATCTGATGTTCTTAATATATTTGCATCGAGTTATACACCTACAGGCCTATTTCTAGCTACATCTATGGTCATCTAATGCCTAATATATATGTATATCTAAAACTATATTTTCCTAAATACTACATTGTTTTTTTCTTTACTTGTTGTGTAGCGCCGTTATATTAAATATATATTTGTTTACTTTCTTATTTATATAATATATAATATATTTATATGGATATCTATTTATATATGTATAGTGTCGTTCTTAATATTAAGTTTACATATACAAGAACCTCAGAAAACTCATTGTAACTAAAACAGCAACGGTAATCAGTAGTACCTTTACCTTTATTCGTCTGTTTGCTGAGGTTCTCATCCCTACTGAAGAACTACTGTGCGTGCGAAAGAGATGGCATGTGTGTGATGGGGAAATGGAAGGTCATACTTTGCTCACGAATACATGATTGAGCATTTTCTATAGATTACACGGCTAATACGATACAGAATCACTTATTTTGGCTAATATTTTCACAATGGAATCAGATGACACAGGATCGAAGAATTGCTTTTTGTAAAAATCCGATAAACACAAAATTATTTAGATTCTGACTTTGGTATTTGCTGCAAAACGAGAATAGTATTAACGTTAACATAGCGTTGTTATGGCAACGCTATCTTATCATTTCTTGGTACTAAAAACTGTGACAATGCTATCTATTTGCTGGCGGATCAAGAATGTTTTACATATAAACGAACCTAGAAAGAATGCTATCCTAGCTGCATCTTTGTGATGGACCTGATCGTACCGCAAGTATATAGCATTTTCACAGTTTTCAGTACCAAGAAAGAAGGATAAGATAGTGTATCGTTCATGTTACCGCAGATTTGGTTCCTGTATTTAAGAACAAATAACAACATTAATTGCACCAATCAAAAATTGAAGCTAGACATGAAAAGTATTCTATCCATATGCTTGATTAAAAACATTCTTAGAATCTGTCTATGAAATCGTTTTCAGCTTGGTCACTATAAAATAATGCTTTTATCAAAACAACATAGTGAAAAATATTGTACAACGTTCTTGGACAACCTTACATAAAATCGTTCTTTTGAGGTGGTCACCATAAACCCCTTCATTTACAAATTATTTACAAAGTCCCGGGACATTACAAAATAGATTCTTGACGTCATCACCATTGTTTTCTCTATTATATTTTGTGGAGTCATAAATTTATAATCATTAATGCTCCAAATACCATAATGATAATTAGTAAATGCAACTTTTTGTATCTCTTTCATCCATTGTCAAAATAATAGCCAGAAATTAATCTTTTAACGCTTAAATTCAACTCAATTTGAATTTATCAAATAAATAACTGGTAACTAAGCAACAAAATACGTCAACAATATAGTTATGCATATAATTTTGCAAGTGCAATTCACGATTTACGAATTATAGTGCAATTTGATACTCTCACATTCTGCTAAGATTTATGAAAATATAAAAAAAACTTAGGCTCTCTTGTCACAACCAATTTTGTAGCGTTAATATCAAACTTAGAGTTTGATATTGAATGGAAATTATACTATAATTACTGTAATACTGCGTATTTATAAAATATATCTATAAACATAACAAATAATATATAACAAGTTCTAAGCACCCATATAAAATTTAAATCAAAAGCTCTTTTACAAATTGAGATACTTCACTGAAATCAAGATTTTCTCTATCGATGAGATTGCAAAAATATGGCTGAAGCGATTTTTTTATCCGGGGTACAAAATAATCAATCTATGTCGATATTTAATTCGATTATATTTCATTCACGCTACATTTGAAGTGCAGACAAACAGTTTAGTATATCGAAAGTTTGTGAATGCTAAATGGTATCTGCAATCTTTAAAGAGAAGAAAAAAACGAATTAATACCGACGATGACTAGGCTTTTGCCTGGAAGCATTATGCTGATGCATATTTTTTTGAGAAAATTGCTTGGATTCAATTTGATAGAGATAGGAAAATCTTACGATGCATAAAAAACTTGGATGGTAATAGGTTTCTGCAAAATAATAATTAGGGTTGCTCAGTTTATCTAAACAATATCTGAATGAATAAATAAATAAGAAAATAAAATAAAAATTGATAAATAAAGTAGAAAATAATATCAATCGTCAAGTCAACTCTGATTATTAGATATACATGAGAGGAAAGTAGCCAAATATTACTCTGCCAAATTTGGAATAGATTTCCCGTGTCAAAATTTCTAATCTGTTTTATTTTCTTCCGCCAAAAATTATATTCGATAATGCCTTGATTAATTTTACCAGACTGATTATTCGTTTTCCACTTTATTTGTGTGTCAACGGTAATCAATAGTAAATCTTATTTAATAAATTTATATAATAAATGTTATAAGAATTATGTAAAATTTTTGAATGTTTAATTATTTTTATAAAAATTGATTCCGAAAGAAGAGTAAATTTGACAAAAGTGTGTAGTATATAATGAAGTTTTTATAAAGTAAATAAATTATATCAGTTAAAATTTTCTTTATAATGTAAATGGTTTTGATTTATTTGCAATTATTCGGCTACTTTCAATAATAAAAATTAATATCACACCTAGACTCGAAAAGTTCTAAAAAATATCTTAAAATTTTGTTTGAAATGTCCTAAAGACCCTGGAAAGGTCTAAAAAGATATAATTAATTTTTCCAAAAACTTGGAGTATTTTTTATAGTGAATACTTTCATGTGTTTTATATGTAAATTTTAAGTAAATTAAACTGTTTGAAAGCTCCTAAAGACCCTTGGAAGGTCTAAAAAGATATAAATAATTATTTTAAAAACATTTTGCACGTTTTCAATTTGGAATGATATTTTTTAGAGTGAATACGTTCATGTATTGCATATGTTCTTTTTAAGTATTAAAAATAAAATTGATAACCAAAATCAGCTATTTTGGAGCCATTCTTAAAATATAAAATTTTAGTATGAATTTTTTGCATATTGCATTCGTAAATAATATCATGTTAGTCAAACTAAAGTACTCATAATTTAACATATAGAGCAAAATAATGCTTCATCCCTATATTTATAATATTTGATAAATAAGAAACCAAAACTGGAACGCAAATCAATATTTGGATACTTTCTCTATAACATTCATGCGCACGTTACACACACAATTTACTCACTAATCTGATTCATATCATATTATAATATATTTTATACCTACATATCGATAATAAATTAATATCTAGTCACAATATATATGTAACATACGAAAATACTGCGTGCCAAAGGCGTGTGGATCATAATAATGGACCGCATATGTTTTGTATTTGAATAAATTTCTTGGTCGAACATTACATTCTCACATCGGATAATAACAATTGAAATTAACCATATCATTTTATCATCATTGTTATTATTATTATTATTATTATTATTACTGCCAATATAATGGACTCACGGGCAGGTGAGCACGCGCACGTTCTTTCTTATACCAGTAGACTGGGTGTTAACCATTCGTCATCGGACAACTGCGAAAGGACAAAAATACAACCGTATATTATCGGAAAAATCTAATTATATCAAAAACAAACATACAGACAACATCAGCTTTTAAAATTTAGATGACACTCTAGAAAATGCAGAGATGTTTTTAGGCGACAAAACAAAATCTACTTGTGAATGTCTGTACAAGAACAACGAGTTAATTGGTGCACGTCTAAGCGGTTGCATAACATAATTTTAATATCGGAGTGAATTTTCCTAAATTCACAGTCAAAATTAGCAATGTCTTGGTAAAAAACACAGAAAAAAACAACCAAGTACTTAATTACCAGTACCCCGCACCAAAGAATTTTTCCAACATTGCTTATTTTTATGACATCAAGTGTTTCAGTGTTAGAGTAATCGATTCTCGTGCAAATGGATTGGAACAAAGACAAATTTTAGTTGTGATAAATTTGAAAAAAAATAGCAGTTGCAATTTAAAATTAATTTGACACTTGGAACGTTATGACGAATGATAAATCCATGCAAAAGAAGGTAAAGCACTTTTCCGTTAGAAACAATTATGATTTAAGTGAGACATACATAAGCGGTTTATACGTATATTAACAAGGAAACTTCCATTAAAAAAATAATTATAAACAAATATTTTTCTGTTAGTTTTTTGGGACAGCTTTATAATTCACCATTTTAATTTTCTGGACTCAAAGCCAATTTTCTCCTCTAAAATTTCATATTTAGGAGCTAATTCTCCGATAAAATAGAAATGTTATGGTAACTCTATGTTACGGGTCTATCTTTGTATGAGTCGGTAGTAGCGAATTGTTGATCAGTCGTTTCACACATAAAACCTAACTTCACGTATGTGTTATCAATGAGCTATCAGAAAGATGCATATATGATACAATTGATATTTGACGTTCCTTTGTAGGTTATGTTTTATGTGTAAATTTTCTGATCGCACTGCAAACACTTTACAATGACAATTCGTGACTACCAATTCATACGAAGATATGCCCGCAACATAGAGTTATCATAACATTTCTATTTTGTTGGAGAACTGGCCCCTTAATTTTACCTTTTGAGAAATTTGAAACTATTTTTCCTTTAAATTAAATTGCACATTCACCAAAAATTATAAATGAATATACATCAAACCATTGATGTTCAAATGCCCCTCAATGTAAGTCCATATGATGATGATTCTCCTTTTTGAGGAAAAAGAAGACTTCCAGTTCCAAAAATTAAAACCACAAAAAATATATTACATATATACGTGACAATTGAAAATAATAAAATTAGTTTAAACCTTGTTTTGATTATTATGTGTGTGGAATGTTTATTAGTATTATTAGTTCTACTAATATAATAATAAATGCAAAGCACTTGGTAAAAAGCTTAGAAGTATCAAATTGCATCAAATGATTTTTTTTTAATGTTAACATGTTTGCTTACAAAATACGCAAATGCAACTTTCAATTTAATAAAAACTAAATATTATAATTGTCATGTTTTAATGTTTAGGCTCTCAGAATTTACTATTACCAACTATTTATATGGATGGACTTTCATAATATTAATCAGCAAATTAAAAATATATTTTCAAACTTTTGGCACGTTAGCAATGTTTCGAACAGATAATAGTTTTGTCCAGCAAAACGAGAAATTTTCCTAATTTGTAACAAATTAACAAATCAAACATTGCACTTGATATTAAAATCTTGGAGCACATGCATGAACCATGTGTAAAAATATTTTTTTTATTACAAAATTGACATGACTCTTTGGTTAAAGGAAATATTCTTATCCAATATATTACACCACATAGCCCACGCATTTGTGCTCGAGTAAAGAAATTTTTCATAAATAATTCATAAGAATTACGATCTATATAAACGCTTCTAATACATATTTCAACAGATTTTCGATAACTTTTCATTTTGGTATATAAACTATATATATATTTATGCTCATTCATAATATCTTTATACAAAAATAACACTGAAATATATTCTGGTTTAACAATTGGCGATGTACGGGTAACTTTCAACGATGGAAATGGATTTACATTTTTGGCCAAAGCCAAATTTATGGCCAAAAGCGACTACGACATGGAAACTGCACACTCGTTTAGTTTTTGCGGAAAAGATATCGGTATCAAAATAAGGCGCTTCATTCATTGTGCCTGGAATCAAAAGTAACGGAAATAAAATTAAATAACCATGGAATAATTCAAAATTATCATGGTAATCGATATTTGAACGAAACTTTACAAAAAATCGGTAAACAGAAATTTGAAATTTTGTTTAAACTAGGTGCGTTCGAAAACAAACTATACCTGCAAAATTACACGTGCAATAGTGCTTCAGAAACTTTGATGTAAAAATTCATAATTTTTTTTTAGATTGTTAGATTTCAGTATTGTACATAATTGCTTATTGCTTATTGCAACATGCTTATTGACCAAATATATTCAACAATTTTTAACTAGAAAAAATATTTTCAATATATTGACTGTAGAACCAAATTACGATACATAAGAAAAAAAACAGCATTTATCCTCAAGAGGCTATTTTACGGTTCATGATTTTTTTCAATAGCATTTAAAACCCGCAAAACGCAGTATTAAATCTTAAAACCGATATTCTGTCTAGAAAATATAATTTTCCACTAGATATTTCTATTTTCTAGTTTATTACCGAACGCACCATGTGTAATTGTTATTTTACATTTTATATTGTAGCAGATAAAACTTATCAAAAATACTTAGTAGAAAAATGTATATTTGAACATGCAAAATGTTTATAAAAGTTATTTAAAATATTCATGCAGAAAATAGGTCATGCCAGAAAATGTATTTTGAAAATGTTTAAAGTTTTAACTAAATACTAGAGTAATGAATCCTAATTTTGATACTGATACCTTAATAATAATATTCATTTGCATTTATATAATAACTAATTATGATTTATTTTTGTTTGTAATTGTGCAATTATTTGTATTTTTTGCAAGTACAATAATATATATTTTTAAGTATCTCAATTCTTTCAGTTTTTAACTGTAATCAAGACAGTCCTATATATTTTGCTACTTTTCGTAATTTTATAATGTTCTATATCAAAACGTGTCATTACATTATTTTACAAATTTTAGACTGTTTTCTTAAATTTAAATTAAATTGTATCAATTAAACAAAATATTGTATAAATGCAAGTGAATTTAGTATCTGATATTTTAACTTCGTATGTTTTATATAAACGAGTGAGCCTGTACCAATATTTAAATCACTTTATGTTTGTAAAATCCATATCGAGTATTTTTAATAATTGTTTTTTATCAGAAAAGTTTAAAATAATTTCCTAAGTAAAAAATACTCCTTCCATAAATAAGAAAACTTTGAGATTTCGTTCGGGTTAATTCAATTCGTCGGAAATAAATCGACGTGCAAAAGTTATTCTCAAAATCATTTGTTAAAAGTTCCATTCCGCTTTCCAAAATGTTTCGATATTAATTAGTAGCATCATCAATAATTTCTAATTCGAAAGAACTTTCGAAAATGTAATAAATATTCCAGTCACTCTGAGTAGACCATTAGCGAATAGTTGGGTAGAAGATTGCCAGCCACTTGTAAATAATAAGTAATAATAAATTGTTGTAGATTTTTCATCATATTTTAACTACATCATTTTTGTATTATGTTATATGCAATTATAATTGGGTAAAATAAAATTATTTTTAGACACAACTCAAAATTTTGCCTAATTTCTGGAATTGTTTGGAGTAGAGTTAGAGTTTGGAAATACTCTAACTTTTTAGGGTATAGTTTAATTTAAAATTTTAACATTATAAACTCATGTTCCTACATGCGTCAATAAATTTTACTAAATTCTAAAAAAAAATTCAGGTTGTGATGAGAAAGCCATAAGCCGTAGAAAATTATTTTTAAACCATGCTATAAAAATCGCACGTATGTATCTATTCAATTGTTAATTAAAAAATTGCACATATTTGTTGACAATTGATTTGTTGCTAAATATGATATATGTAAATTATATTAATAACGATAAATGGAAGCTACTTATTAAAATTGCAGACATGCCTTTTCTTGTTTTAAAATCACAGTTAATTGATAAGCAAAGTATGTCAGTATTAAAACATGACAATTTAATTACAAGTGATAATTTTAATATATATATATATATATATAATATAATACAGAAACCAATTTAACAATATAATTCCTCGTACACATTTTCCATATTAAGAAATCATGCACACAGAAATTTCTGTTATGATAAAATGTATGAATTGCGAATGCATTAAAGAACAGTAAAGTGTTAATTTATGTTTTATAAAAAATAGTGGCATTAATACCCAACATTTCTGCAAATTCCTATAATTAACAACCTTATATAAAACTTTAGAAAATATAATTTTGTAATATCGTATAGCAACTTGCAGAAATTAACTAATTAATAGTAGTAAAGTGTTAAAAGCAAAATCTAAATGAGTCAAAATTGATGTTAACATGCGTGTTTTTTCTATAGTATCAGAAAAATGTATTAGAAATTAGGTAAAAAACATCAAGATAGAACCCAGATAAAGTTGGAAACTCATAATAAATTTTAAGGGATAAATGAAGAGTTTCCAACATGAAAGCTACATTTCTGACAAATGATAATTACAGATGTTTAATTATGTACTTTAATTATATTTATATAGATACACAACAACATAGTTCAAACATGACTTGAAATATAAATGCCAAATTAAAGTACATACTCAACAAAATATAAGCATTTTCATAACCAACAATTATTGTTCTAGTTTTATAAAAACGCTTATTTTTAATTAAACTTTTTGATACAACAGATGATAGTTCTGTCTGCATTCAGATTTCAGATTGTGTAATATGTTGAATTTTTTTTAATATACCTGGAATTGTTGCATTGGGTAAGCGACAACACCGGCTGCTTGCGGCAAGGCGGCACCTTGGGCGATTTGCTGCGCCGTCGTGGGCAATTGGGCTTGGGCGGGAACTCCCTGCCAAGCACCAGGAAGCTGTGCCATTCCCATACTAGGAAAGAAAAATTAAATAAGAATTTAGATTATCTAAAAAATACTTTATTATCATTTATCTTACCCCATATATCCTTGCTGGTATCCGGCGAATTGGCCATAGGCAGCGTATCCTTGCATTCCTTGCAAGAATTGTCCCTGGAGTTGTGCGGAAGGTGCAGGAGCAGCTGGGTAAGCAGCTGGCGCAGGTGGGTACCAGTAGCCTGCCACTTGTTGACCGTATGCTGCTCCGAATGGGAAGCCTGCTCCTGTCAGCGCCTGCAGGAGGAATAAAAAAATACTGTGTTAAAAACATTATAGTAATCTATGATAAACTATAAAAGTTACTTATGTAAAGAAGTGATTGAAGCAAAATTTCGTTTAGGTGATTTTTTCACCAAAGCTCAGATCGTCCAATTGAAGTAGATTACCAAAAGATAGACAACATTTATGCATAAAATTTGGCCTATTTCTACCTAAGTGTATATCAAATGCATCCAAAATTAAGTTGTCTACCGTCTAATTGTCTCCAAATAAGATTTAATTGATCTCTCTATCTCTGTATAACGCATAATATCTATCATGTATCTG